TCTTGCTCTCACTCTCTTTCTCTCAAATAAATAATCTTAAAAAAAAAAAAAGAAAGAATTTCAAGATGGTGACAGCAGAGCATTATACCAAGCATACCCCTTCTGAGTACAGGTAGCACGCCCTTGAAGCCAGCCCCACCTCTACCCCTTCAATGGCCAAGTTTCAGGATTGAGATTAGATTATGTGGTCAGGACAGTCAAGCTTTCACGGTAAAGATGCTCTTTATGAATCGGCTTCAACTACCGAGTCCTCAGAGAGGACTGATATACTATGAAATGATCTACGGGGATAAACAATAACAAAGTCAAAACCAAATAATTAGCAAGTATGAATATCCTTCCTTTGACCCCCCGCCTTGACAGTAAGGGGGGGGGAGGATCTAATGTACTCCAGGAAAATCTGCTGCAGAATTATAATTCTCTGATCACGAATGTCCTTAACATTTTTCGAGGTAAGAGGCACAGAGAACTTTCAATGAATTACAGCCTACAGGAAAAGGAAAGAATTCAACTATGCCACATTTTAGATGGTAAACCCAAGACCGTGTTCTTATCAAACAAGTTTTTCTCCGAAGAAAAACTGCACTTCATTCAAGCTCTTTTCTTCACCTCCAATGAATAGAAAGCCTGCTGTTTTCAGAAATCAGTATTGAAAGAGTATGTGGCTTAATGATGGCGTTGAACTTCTCTATCAAAAGGGAGTTTAGTTCTGTGACTTTCTTTGTACTTTATCTTGGTATTTCACAAGAAGCTGGGGCAGCACCGATACTGAGGAAGTGCAGATGCACAACACAGCAGGATTGTCTGGTCGTTTTTCAAGTGTCCAAGATGAGAACACTTAGAGCTGAGAGCAAAACGATGGAGGATTCCCTCTGCACCACATCTAGTAACAGAAAGGGAATGAAATCACCAGGTATACTGGGACACCTAATGGTGAATCATCATCTACTCTGGGGGCGTGATCTAATTAAGACCAATGACTCTCACAATAAAAGTTTATTCTGAGGACAGAGGATTTAAATGAAAAAAGAGCAACTCTTGACTTCCAGCAAGTGCTCAACAGATTTTTAAAAAATACAGCAGGGTACGAGAACACACTCACTTAGCAGTAACCATTCACCAAACGGGGTGATGCTGACCTTGCTCAATTTTTGCCAACCAAAAGTGCTCCTTTTTCTCTAAAATTTCTTGACAATTATAGCATCGATTTTGAGCCATTCAAAAATAAGGATTTCAAAGTCAACAAGAATTACACCAAATAATTACAAATCCTTATCCTAACTGCTAAGTATATTAGCTTGTAAGTTGAGGGCACAAGCAGGGTTTCCTCAAGCAGAACGCTACTGACATTTTGGACCAGATAATTCTCAGTTGTGGAGAGCTGTCTTGTGCACTGTAGGATGGTGAGCAGCATCCCTGGCCTCTACCGCTAAGATCCCAGTAGCACCCATTCCCCACCGGTAAGGACCAAAACTGTCCTTGTCTCCACGCATTACCATTGCGGGTGGGGAGGTGTGTGTCAAAAACCACCTCCAACTGAGAACCACTGCTTTAAAGAGATAGCAATAAATAAAAGACAAGGAATCAAAGCATTTGAGGATAGGAAGGGATTTTAAGGATCCTGTGCACCCGTGACTCTCAAACTTTGGTATGTATCAGCCTCCCTGGGCCAGAATGGGAAAAATGCCTTGCCCAAGGTCACAGGGCGAGTTAGAACCTGGACTCCAAACCCAACCAAGCCCTTCCTTACAAAAAGGGTGGGTGGGGTGAGCGGTGTGTGCTGTTCTCACCTCTTTGGGAGAGGCAGTAGAGCTAAACTGGTTAAAACAGTGCACTCCGGAGCCAGCCGGCCATAGTTAAAGTCCCGACTTGGTATTTATCAGGGGGGCGACCTTGCGCAAGGCACATAACCTCTGAGAGCCTCAGTTTCCTTCTCTGGCCAATGTAATAATAACAGTGCCTATCTCCTAGGATTGTTGGAAAGGCAAAAAGATAATAATGTTCATAAAGCGCTTGGCACAGGGCCTGGCACCCAGTAAGCACTCCGATACATGTCCTCTTATTATTATTGTTCCACGGCTGCAGAACTGAAGGGGTCTGCGGGGCCCCGAAGGCAGAAGGTTGGAGATGGGCTCAGGGGGACAAACCGACCTCCCGATCCGCACTCCCCCCCGCCCCTCGCCGCCGGCGGACCCCCGCCCCGCCCCTCACCTGGCCCCGCAGCTCCTTCTCCAGCTGCCGGTAGTCGTTGTTCCACACCAGGAGGTGCAAGGGGAAGTGGCCGCTGTTGTCGCGGGCCGAGGACATGGCGAAAAGGCCGCAGCCGGGCCCTCACCGCCCGCTTGCCAAGCCTCAGCCCCGGCGGGGTCTCCGGCGCCCACCCGCCCGGCGGCCGGCGCAAGAGAGAGAAAGAGAGAGAGAGAGAGAGAGAGAGAGTGAGAGAGGGGCGCGGTACACGGCGGGGCGGCCTACGGACCGGGTGCGGGACGCGAGGGAGGTCGGGGGTCGCGGGCCGGGTCCGGGACGGGGTCGGCCGTGCCCACCCCGCACCCCGCCGCGCTCCCGCCCGCGCTGACAGCTCCCGAACCGACTTCTGCGGGCCGAACTGCCCCAAACCGGGAAGTGCGCGGGGCGAACCACCGTGCACGCCGCGGCGGGGGGAAACGAGGCCAGCCACGCGGCCCGGAGTCGGCCCGATCGCACCCACCCCCAGCTACACACCCGGAAACACAGTGCAGCCCCCAAACAGAGCTAACATTCTCTCCCTTAGCTCAGGATCTGGACGCGGAAAACTCGGCCTTTCCGTCACCAGCCCCTTCCCCCCTGCTCCAGCGATTTCACATGGTTCAGTCCACAACTGGGCCTCTTCCATCCGCTCTGAGTTCAGGGGGTGGCCGCTGGGGCCTGGACCAAACCATTCCAGTTACTGACTCCCTTGCAGCCTTTTTGGAATTGGGCAGTGCTTCCATGATTGGCCAGAAGCCATTTTGGAAGTGGGCAACACCGAACAATTTTAAAGAGGGAATATTAAAAACTCTGGAGAAGTGGCACTGAAGGTTTGCATAACGAGGGAGTTGTTCTTCCTCAGGGTTTCTCAACATCGGCACATTGTAAACTCAGTAATTTTCTTTCTGTGGGGATTGTCCTGTGCTTTGTAGGATGTTGAGCATCTCTGGCCTTTCTATCCCCTGGATGCCATAGCACTCCCCTGGCCAAAATACCTCCAGACATTGCCAAATGTCCCCAGGGGGAGAAAAATCATCCCCAGTTGAGAACCACTGTTCTATCTGAACTCCAAACCGGGTTATGATTCAAAGTTACATATGATGGTGGTTTCTTCCACATATGAGGGTCATTTATTTTTGGAACTAGCCACTTTGAGTTTTGGATTATGGCTAAAAAGACTAATAGATAATACCCAGACTTGATCACACTCTGCAAATATTAAGTTCATTCTTTGGGTTTCAACCTCAGACACTACAGCTCTTTTGATTCAATGAAGAGCCAAGTCAACTTGCAGCTACTCACCAGCCAAAGTTATCCACACAGTTGTCTACAACTAGACCACACAGCTGGGGGAAGTTATTCAGTGCATCCTGTAAAACATACCCTCTCCCTCCCTGGCCTGTGTGCAGCTAGCTTTTCAGATGCCTGCAACAACAGCTGTTCAAGAATCCTGGCCTAATCCGTTCTCCACATGTGTTGAGTCCAGAAGATTTGTGAGTCTGAGAACCAAAACAGGATGCAGGAGCATCAGGATGGCACCCAGAGGCTCTCCCTGTGGAATGTGTGGGAATTATGCAGTTATTCCTACACCACACATTTCCCAAAATGGAGAGGTAGACCAACATCCAGAGCTTCTAAGACCTCTTCCAGGACTTCCTATCTTTCCAGAAACTTTATGCGACTTAATCTTTCTCTTCATCATTCAATATTTATTGAACATCTCTCTTATTCATGAGTTGCAGAACTCCACAATGGCTGCTTACCGGAGTATCTAAAGTCAAGACAGTGCCTGGACCTTAATAGGCATCCAATATTTCCTGACTGGAGATCATGGCTGCATTTACATATAATACATACAATAAATATTCATTAGCATTAGGGTCACATCTCTTCTCTCATTCACACTGATTAAACTCATCTCATTGTGTTTATCTCACACCATCCTGTGTTACTGTAGGCCATCTATTCTTATTCTCAAAAACAAAAAGTTGTGATTAGAAAATAATAGTGATACCGAATACCAAGAATAGTGGGAGCTACTATTATTGAGTGCTTACAATAGGGCAGGCACACCACATTTTTCTGTAAATTATTCCATTTGTCCTTAGCCAGATAGTAAATATTTAGCTCTGTAGGCCATATATGAGTTTTGTCAGATATTATTCATCCACTTTCTCTTCTCCTTTTTCTTCTTTACAACCCTTTAAAAATGTAAAAAAAAAAAAAATCATTCTTATGTAGCAAGACATGCCAAAAAAAAAAAAAATCGTGCACTAGAGGTAGATAACATATCAGCTCCATCTTCCACATGAGACTAAAACTGTTGCTTATTTGATTTATTTTATTGCAGGTCTACCACAGTAGAATGTAAGCGCCATGAGAACAGGAAATTTTGTCTTCTTTGCTCACTGTTATTTCTTCTGCACCTGGAACAGTATGTGGAACATAGTAAATGCTTAGTAAGTATTTATTGATTAAGTGAATGAATTTGACCAGTTATACTAAGTAACTTGACTATTGATTGCCTCAGGAAACTTGTGGCTGCAGAACTCTGGCCACGAGATTTTGCAGCTTCCCCTGGTATTACTCAGTGCTGGGACTTCCAAAGAGAGAGACCCAAATTGAAGAAAATATATAGGCAGGGCAGAAGATGCTGGGGCACATATCTGCCCTCACTCAAGATGGCGGCAAGGCAGCGTGCCCTTTCCGGTCACATGATCTGTCCGACGGCGAAGGGCACCTCCCCGCGCGTGCGTGCTGCGCCGCGGCTGCGAGGCGCTGAGGGGAGAGGCGCCGCCGCCAGCGCCGCCGCTGGGACCCGTTAGAGCGGAAGCGCCGCCGCCGCCGCCTTCACTGTCCCGGGGACCCTGATTCCTGGCAGGTGGGAGGCGGGAGCCATGTCGAAGCGGCTTCGGAGCAGCGAGGTGTGCGCTGACTGCAGCGGGCCGGGTGAGTCGCACCGGCCGGGCCCGCTTCCCTCAGCTCTGCTCGAAGGGACCCCTGCCCCGGGGCCGCCCCCTCGAGTCGGGCGGGTCCCGGCGTCCGAACCCCACACCTGGGGTCGCGAGGAGGAGGACCCGGGGTGCCCTCGGGGCGGGACCCGTCCCGGGCCTGTCACAGCCGGGCGGGCTAGGGGGCCGCCGCCCTCCCGCCCCTCCCTCCCCTCTTATCCCCTCTCCTCCCCTCTCCTCCCCTCCGTCCCAGGCGGGGCGGGGAGGCTGCGGGGTCGGCGCTGCTTCCCCAACAGGAAGGGGCTTGGGCAATGCACAGGAAGGCCAATTACAGAAGTAAAATGCGAGCGTTCTCCCGGCTGCGGCCCCCTGAGGCTGCAGGTGTTCCCCCAGCTCCCCGCGCAGCCCCGCGGACCCCCGCCGCGCGAGGGGGCCCTGCCTGGGGTGGGTGCACTCGCCGCTTCCGTCCACTGATACTCTCCAGGGGACCCCCGTAGATGATTTCCATGCTCCTAAGATCCCGGCTCCCACTCTACTTCCACCGGGGAGAATCTCCAGAAGGTCGAGGTCTTGCAAACAACCAGCGCTTGGGAAGCAATGCGTGTCTCGAGTTTTGGGATCTGAACGGCCTGGGTTCAACTAGGTTTTGTTTCTGGGTGATCTTGGGCTGGTGATTTCATTTGGTCCAGCCTTAATTTCCTCATTTTTCCGATGGAGATAATTGGGAGAACCACATTCAGTGGTAAGGAAGAGTCAATGAATATTCTTAGGATCATCTCATCTTAAGTTTTTTGTGTGTGTGTTGCGTTGTTTAGTACAGAACCTTTGCGGTGTCTTAAAGCTAGAGTTGAGGTTCTAAATCATACATTAATTACAACCTACAAAACAAAATCACTGGCAAATAGATACATTTGGGCATTCGGGCAGGATAGACCTATGGGTGCTTTGAAAGCTCAAAACCATTCTTCCCTTGCATAAGGGATTTAGAGTTTTTAGATTTAGAGTTCAGATCCATTTTAGCAATTGAAACTGAATTGACAGGTCTCAGCTTTTCTTGGTGCTTGGATTAACCTGCTTTGAAATTTGAAGTAATTCAAAGGTAAGATGATGACTTTGGTTACAATAAAGTCCAGTTAACCATCATAATTAAATCATTGAACCCTAGTGTTTTTGCAACTGTTCTGAACTTCATCTTGTTATATGAAGACCGATTTTAAATAAGTACTGTGATAACCTTATGTGGTTCTTTCATGGCCTGTGTAGTGTGCAAGTGGGATTACCAGTTTCCTTTGCGATGGGGCAGGGGGTAGAGGAGTTGAAAAAGAGGACCTCAAGAAAGTGTGGGTTATACAGACTCCATCGTATTCTCTGAAAATGTTATTTGTTCCACTTCCTTATTTTCTTACTTGTTTTCAGTTGAACTTTCTGTGATGTGTTTGATTCACATGAGTCTAGATTCAGACTTCCTCTTGGAATGTGTATTCTTCACTCATTAGGTGGTAGGGGACAAAGGAAAACTGCTTCACCATTGCCACACTAATGACTGTCTTGCCCTTCTGCAGCATTTCGTGCATATTTCAGAACATTCTCTCTTCCATTGTATCATTTTTGTTGTTGTCTCAAATGCCTAATCTACAGAGACTTGAGTCATTTCCTTCCTGTTTTGAATATAATTAGGCTACCTTGAAATGTTGTGTGAACTTGAGCAGCTAGGAATTTGTGCTGCCTTTTCTGCAGAGCCCCAAAGAGTTACCTCTTTCTCGTAGGGGTCCTTTAAAGGTGCTGATGACTGCTGAGGCCTTCTCCCCAGAAAATGCACGTGTAGTCACTCTTTCATATAGAGCTCATAATTTCTTAATGGGGTCACAGACATTTCTGAAGTCCATTTGTGGTGTTCCTGGAGTCTGGGTAAGAAGCCCCAGCATAGAACATTTAGGTAAACTGGAAGGGTTTCACCCAACGTCATTCATATGAGCTCGATTTTGATTTTACTGTGTTGTGAACATTCTAATATTTTTTCCATGGGATTCTGATCCATGATGTTAAAGTAATTCAGAACCTTGCTTAATGTGTCTCACTCCTATTTAATTTTCTCCAGGAACACAGTGAATCCTCTGAATGATATGTGAAAACCAAAGCTATGCTTCAAAAGTTTGTTTTTTTTTTTTAAGTAGTAGTATGAGTACCAAACTACAAAAAGCAGTGTTCTTATGTATCTTTGCAGGGATCTTTGATCTTGATGTTTTCAGTCTTCACATTTCAGAATAGCACAGTAGTACAGAATTATACTTCATTGAATTATTTTGTTTCTGTTTTATTTCATGCAAACATTTAACCATGATCACATCCTAGCAAATATTTTACTTTTTTTTTTTTAATGAATCTATTTTGTTTTAAAGGTTTTGTTTTATTTTGAGAGAGAGCAAGTGTGCACTCGTGCATGTTCCTACACACGCGCGGGGAGGGGCAGAGGGAGGGAGAGAATCCCAAGTGGACTCAACCCCGTGCTGAGTGTGGAGCCTGATCTCACGACCCTGAGATCATGACCTGAGCTGAAATCAAGAGTCGGTCCCTAAACCAAATGAGCCACCCAGGTACCCCAGATCTAGTTCATTTTAAATAGATGGTTCTCTGAGCTCAACTACCTGAAAACTCCACTTGAGATTTTTCACTATAGTAATAGTGTTCACCTGGAACAGTTGGTGTCTTAAGTATTGACAATCAAAAACCTTTTCCAGTTGTCAAGAATTTCAGCGGCCCCTTGAAAATATCCGAACGGTACTTAGAAAATAATTTAGAAAAGTTATAACAGCTGACATTACTGAGTACTTACTATATGCAAAGAACTTTACCCTTTATAATAAATGCCCCCTACTCTGAGCTATGCTGTTATTCCCATTTGATCCATGGTGATGATGCTCAAAAAAATAACTTACCTGAGATCATTGTGCTGGAAGTGGCAGAGTTGGGGTTCCAACCCTGGACTGCTCGTCTCCAGAGCCACCCTCTCAACCACCACACCCTTGACTCCCAGGATTTGTCTCTGATTGAAATCTCATAACTTTTCATTATATGGTTGGAAAGGATTTGAATAAACTGTTAAAAATGGTAAAGATGGTGTGCATGCATTTTAGAGATTTTTGTGGACATTGAAGAATTTCTAAATATAGCTCTTAGACCAGGCAGCTTGAGTGGTACCTATTGTCATCCCATTGTGAGTCTGACGAAATGTAGAAAGTCTGTTTTTATCTGGGATTTCTAAGTATGTGTTCAGTTTACTGTCCCAGTGTGGATTATTCTCACTGCTTACCAAGTGTGAATTATTCCTTGTCTCAAAGGATGTCTGCTGAAGCTCCATGGGACTTCATGGGGAAAAAGTATTGTACACACACCACAAATATTACTCACTTTTATTTTACATCTTTGCCTCTTTGAAGCTGCTGTTACTCCAGCTTCTGTTCGTTCAGATCAGTTGCAAGGTGGGACTCGGCAGTTTATTTGAAATGACTAATGGATGTCATAAAACATTTTCTAGCAGAGAAGGCCAGGTTCCTCAGTGTGTCCTCTGAGCCACCACAGCCAAGCAGTTTTGTTGTTGTGTTGCTTGCAGCTTTCTGCCAAGCCTAGAGCCATGCAGAGGTACAACAGTAGATTAGGATAGCAGTCTCTTCAGCATTTAGTTTAGATCATGCTTTGTGGATTATTCACTGACACGGCTATGTTATTTTACTGTTTGTGGAGATTGGTTTGAAATGTTTCATCCATACCCTCTCAGTTTACTTCTCTTTGTTGAATGAAGGAGCATGCATCTGAGGTGGTAGATCACATTAGGGCTACAGACTGTGGCCCTGGACCAGAAAGGAGACAATTGCTTATTTAGGACTTCAGCTCATGTGTTTAATCTCCATTAATGTGGTACCCAATCAGCCAAGATAGGTGGTATCATCAGACAGGCTCACCAGCTTGGTATGTTGACTAGCATTCTAACACAACAGGAATGTCTTGTTTTTTTGAAAAACCAAACCTCAGTCATCTTTGGCCATCTGGCAGTATAGCAGCCACCTGGTATCCACGCCACTGAGATGTCTTTCTTCTTTCCAGATCCTTCCTGGGCATCAGTAAATAGGGGGACTTTTATATGTGACGAGTGCTGCAGTGTCCATCGGAGCCTAGGGCGCCACATCTCTCAAGTAAGGCATCTTAAACACACACCGTGGCCTCCCACGTTGCTGCAGGTAAAGAGTAAGAATTCTCATGGTTTGTAACTTGAGCTTTTAGGGTTCATAGTTTTAGCAACTAAAATTTCTCGTACTATACTTAAATCTTACAAAAATGTTTGAATCGTACCTGAACAGAGGTGCTGTGCCTATTAGTGCTGTATGTAAGAACTGAATTCCTCATTTAAGATTTTTTTCCCCTCCTAACAAATCTTATCCCAAAAGCTCAATTATAGATAGAAAAATAATTCCTAAAATTTCTTGGTAACGTTTCACTGCTGACTTTCTGGACTGAAATTGTTCTTAAACAGTCTGTCTTTTCCATATACCACAATAAATGTTTCTGAAAGCTGCAGTCTCCCATCCAAGTACTAACCAGGCCCGACCCTGCATAGCTTCTGAGAGCAGACGAGATCGGGCGCGCTCAGGGTGGGATGGCCGTAAATTTTCCTTACGTTTCCTGCTTTGATGGAAGCATGGACTGAGATTCCTCCTCAAAAATCTCAGAGACATCTGATTTAAGTTTTCTTGAAATTCTTGTTACCAATTAGACACCAGATTGGGTTGACATGTTTCGATTGAGTGCCCAACACCCTGCTGAGTGTCAAGTGAGCTCTTTGTTTTATTTGGGGTCGAATGTCATGTCACCTGTACTTCTATTTTGGGGTGCATTCTTCAAGTTCTATTTGGAAGTCAGAATTAAGCATGTGTTTCGCCTTCATTTGTCTTGAGTACATATTTTACTAGATCTGTGGCAGCTGCTCAGCATGTCCCTTAAACTTGCCTATATAAACCAGCGGGCCAAAACAAGTGGGTTTGGGTCTCTGATATGACAGTGTCTCCACCAATGGAAAACAAACAGATGGGGCTGTGTCAGGAGTCATGCTTTGAAATGAAATTGGGAAGTATGGTTTATTAATAACTTTTGTTCAGAAGTTTCTAACAGCTCCTTCACATGTGAAAGTGGGTGTTTACTGCTCTCAGGTCTCTGTTTACAGATTTCATTATAGGGCCTGAAGAAAGTCCAGAGATGAGTAGTTTAAAATGCCAGGCTTGACCCTAAAAGAACAATTCCGAAAGTATGGCACATGAACCACTCAAGACAGATGTAGGTAATACTCAAATATTTATTTTAATGGTTACATTATTTTAATGTTTATAGGAAAACTTTAACTAGCACATCAGGCTGTAATTGCTAGTAAAAGTTTTTAAAAAGCGAGTGGCTTTAAAGGAAAATCTTAGTTAGAAAGTCTAGACAGTACATGGGTTGTTAAGAATCTTGAAAATAGTATTTGAATGATCAGGCTTGGGAAACACTGCCCCAAAGTGTCGAAGTGCTCTTCCTTCATAATCTGTAAGAACAGTTTAATCAAACTCTTTTAGGTACTTAGCCATCCTTCTGGTCAGACCTGAATCCTGCATATAAGGTTCATCTTTCTCATTCTAGAATCAGAAAGCAATGATTTGTAGGACATCCCCATCATGCTGATATTTGCAGTAGGGCTTGGTTTTCCCAGTTCAGTCACTACAATTTCCAGTGAATATTTGTGGAAAGAAATTAAAATATGATTTTATACTGCTTGGTTTTAGATGGTTGAAACCTTGTATAATAATGGTGCTAATTCTATATGGGAGCATTCTTTGCTGGACCCTGCCTCTATTATGAGCGGAAGACGTAAAGCTAATCCACAGGATAAAGTACAGTGAGTGGAATGTTTATAAATACTTTTATTTCTTCATAACCCATGGGGCCCACTAAAAGGAGTGCAGCTACTTTGGACCAGCCTCCACAAGGCGGCACAGAAGGTGGTTACACTCCAGTTGTGCATTGAGCTCTTCGCTATTAGAAATGCAGAACAAGGCCGGGCACAGAACCATCTCTTTTGCATGGTTGCACAGCACGAGTCAGTGGCTTCTCCAGTTTGAGACTAAAGCTTGGAGGCTGTTAGTGTAATCAGATTTAAGCTTAGGTGCTCAGACAAGAGGCAGTCAGACCAGAAATCTCAGTTCTGGGCTCCAGTTTGCCTGATGCCTCACCTGTAGGATGGGATGTAATGCTGCTTCCTCACAAGGCTGCTAGGTCAGTAAAGAAAAGTACAAAGAAAAGAGAGAGGCTCTAAAAAGCAAGTACTCTGCAATCCTGGCCATTAGAATGACTAATTGACATTTTGAGACTTCAGGTCTTAAACTCCTGCTGGAACTTATTCACTATTGTTCATTTTCTTCTCAAGTAGGGGATACGGGTCACTTCCTCTTCTTTTTACAGCCTAAAGAATGGGGAATGTTACATCTGAACTGCAAGTAAACTTTTGTTTTCTTTTTTTTTTTTTCCCTCGAACCAGTCCTAATAAAGCGGAATTCATCAGAGCCAAGTATCAGATGTTAGCGTTTGTCCATCGCTTGCCTTGCAGGGATGATGACAGCGTGACTGCCAAAGACCTTAGCAAGGTGGGTCACACTTTTTAAAATCCTAAAACTGGGCGCCTGGGTGGCTCAGTTGGTTAAGCGACTGCCTTCGGCTCAGGTCATGATCCTGGAGACCCAGGATCGAGTCCCACATCGAGTCCCACATTGGGCTCCCTGCTCAGCAGGGAGTCTGCTTCTCCCTCTGACCCTCCCCCCTCTCGTGCTCTCTCACTCTCTCTCTCAAATAAATAAATAAAATCTTTAAAAAAATAAAATCCTAAAACTGCTGGATGAAACAGTATATTGTTTTGTTTGAAAAAAACTTGAGGAAGAAAAGAAAAAACAAAAACTTTCTGTACTCTAAATAATTAATAACAGCCTTTTTTGCAGTTGGTTTCATCTTTACTTTTAGTTCAAATGGCAGCCATTCATGTTAGTGGAGGTAAAAGGGCAAAGAGGAAAAATAAGTATGTATCTAGAAAGTGATTTGTGTTCTTCAGATATGGTTTTAAAATTATATTTCTGTAAGTTTTTTGTTTAACTTTGAAATAGGAACCATCCTTGAGTTTGTTTCTAGAAGGGACTAGGGAGTTCGAGGGACTTCTTTAGGTTTCTGGGCTGCATACTGAGTAGGATCTTCAGGAAGCAGGATGACTCAAAGCTGTAGTGCTTGGGATTCTTTATTATACTTGTAAAATGAGTAGATGGTTTTCTTTATGTGGGCCTTTGCATGTTTTTGAGAGATGCCAGGAAAAATATGCATCTTTATTTTTAAAGCACTGCTCCTTAGGAAATGTTCACACAGAGCATGGGCACTCACAATCAGAATTTTAAACTTTACACAGAATATATATAACTGTTACTTCTGCTAATTAATAAGGCTTGGCATGGGTTTTTTACCACAACTTAAAAATATTAAATACATTAATTTTAAAAATAGGATGTGGATATAGATGTTGGAGTAGATTTCTGTATTCTTACAATAATGGTTATTGCATCTTGGACAATTCTGGGTTAGACTTGAAGAAAAGAAGTTCATCTTCTGCATGTGTAAGAGCTTCTCTGCAGTGGTACAGAATTTGATATATACAGGCCTTTTTCCCACCCTGTAAGACTTTGTTTAAGTATTGTATACAAGGCCAAGAATGGTGGAGAGGGTATGCTATAAGGCAGAATCCTGTAGTTTACACAGTGTGGGATACGCAGCCCTAAAGCCCTAGGTTCAATAATAACAAATAATAATGATTATAATAACAGCAGCTGTATTCTTTGAGCGTTTCCTGTGTACCAGGCTCCATGCTAAGCACTTTGTTCTATCATCGACTCCCTACAGCAACCCTGTGAATAGGTGGCATTGTTATCACCATTTTAGAGCTGAGAAGACTAAGGTTCAGATTGCTTAAAGAACTTCCACAAGGTCACACAACTTGAAGGGTGTATGGTTTGAACTTCAGGTCTTTGAGACTTCAGAGTCCGTTCACCGACCTTCTCATACCGCCTCTCACTTCAGGTCTGGTTGTGCCACTTAGACAAATCATGCATCTGGGTGGATCGGCCTTCCCAGCCCTTGTTTCCTTATCGGTAAAGTAGACCTGGCCCCACCTTAGAGCCCAGGGGTAGTTGTGACCAGTGAGGGAGAGAGTGCTGCTTCCACCTTACTGAGCTAAATGAAGATTGATTGTTACTAATATAACGTATACTAAAATGACCTGCCAGCAGCTCTGGTATACCATTCTTTACTCTTTTAACAGATATTTTTTTGGTTTGTGTTTTTCAGCAACTCCACTCAAGCGTGAGAACGGGGAATCTCGAAACCTGTTTGAGGCTGTTATCTTTAGGAGCACAAGCCAACTTCTTTCACCCTGTGAGGAAAGCATGAATTGATTCAGATATTAAATTGAAACTAAGTGGGTTGTGTTTGTGTAGCCTTTAGTTTTATTTGATTTGCTTTTTTGTCTACTTTTATTAATATTTCTCAGGAAAAAGGAAACACCCCACTCCACGTTGCCTCCAAAGCAGGGCAGATTTTACAGGCGGAATTACTGGCAGTATATGGAGCAGACCCAGGCACACAGGATTCTAGTGGAAAAACTCCTGTGGATTATGCGAGGTGAGAGACCTAGATCCTTGTCACTGCCTTGGTCAGGGATTATTTATGCTGGGTATGATTCATTGTTAGGTGGCTATATTGTGTATTAACATTTAATCCCTTTAAGTTAAGGATTTACCATCCTATCATTTTGCAGATGAAGACATTTCAAATACATAGGAGCTCAGAGCCTGGCAAAGTCAGAGGGGGTAGAACCATTAACGAGTGTGCTTAGCTTCCAGTCTTTCACATGACTTCTAAAGCAATGGCATTTGAGCCATAGGCAGAGTCCAAAGCAAGTATCAAGAATTGCAAAACCCACTCCTCAGTTTCTTAATACGTTTAGTCATTGCTTGAACTTAAAAACAGATCTGTACAGATAGGTAGGCAATCAAACAAGTAATAGTAAAATGTTAATTGTAGGTTTTAGGCAGCAGACGTTTGAGTGCATGCTGTAAAATTCTTTTAAGTTTCTTCTTGGTTTAAAAACTTTGTGAAATGCTGGAAAAATAAAAAAATCCATAAGTTAGTCTTGAATATCATTTAAACGATAGAGGATGGTTCATCTTTCCTTTTTCCAGATTAACTTTTTATCAACTGCAAAGCACTCTATTCTGCAGAGGATAAAATGGGTGAAATGCCAAAACTGTGCCGTCCCAGAATTTCTTCTCTTATGGAGGAGATGATTCATACATGCATGAAAGAGTTAAATGAGGCAAGATAATGTGGAATTCATTGCCAAAAAGGATAACTGGTCTTAAAAGGCATTTGTAAGGTTTCTTCTTTGTGGCCTAAGTCAGTCAGAAACTTCTTTAGTTGATCTTTGAAAAATGGGTTGGATTTGGGTATGTGAAGGAGGAGCTAAGGCATTCTAAGTGAAAAAGAAAGGCATGATTTAAGTGCAGGAGGGAGAGATGGACAGGGCATATTCAGCACAGCAGAGGACTTTACTGAATAGAGCAGAGTGTGTCTGGGAATAATAAGATCTTGAGGTATTGAGGAATATAGTATTTCCTGGATCTGAGACTCCACTGACAGTACAGGTCATCAGTTATCTCACATACCACTAAAAATGAGAACAACTTGGCCGATTAAATGATGATGTACCATCAATTGTAGCATACTTCCTGATTTCACAGCTGTTAAAAAAATGAGGAAAAAAGATACGTATCTCAGAAATCAAATGTGTGGTAGGTCGGTGGAATATCTTGTAGTGTCTTGAATGGTGGGAAGAGAAAGTGGCAGAAACTAGACTTCAGCTTTTAAGGGGAAGAGAGCCCTCAGTACGTGGTACTTATTATCACTTACCTTGGAGTTTCCTCATGTGTACCTTGCATATATTATAGTCTCTCAATGTGATAATTTATTTATATCCCTGGTTACTAAAAAGATTTCAAGCAGCTTAAGTATTTACTTCATTAATGAGGAAAGGCAAACCTCATGTTTTCTGTTACGTAAATTGAAGTTTAAGGAGGTGAAAGTAGCTACAGGTATGAGCTGTGCATTCTGTTGGTCTGTCTCTCCCTGAATTACAAACCTCGAAGTGGTTACTAAACTCTCATCCAGAATCATACTGGCTGCATCAGGAGCCTCTAGGGGAAAGACCTTCTTCAAAATATTGACGTTCACACTCATCCCATTCTTACTGATTCAGAATTCCCAAGGTTGGGGCCTGGATATCTACGTGTTTTTTAAAGCACTTTAGTTAATTTTTGAGAACCTCCACTCTAGACCATTTATTAATTTTATTTTCTACCTCATTAGATGAAGTTATTCTTTATCTCTCCCATAAGTCCTTCATTTCCTTATTAAGTATTCTGTTCTGTAAATTAATAAAGGAAGGGGGTAGTTCAGATTGTGAAAACAGTTTATAAAGGTGGGAATCAAAGAAGACCTTGACAGTTTACCTCACACAAAAGGTTGATTATTCTAAGAAGTCACATTTGGTAAATTGCTCAGGTGTCTTGGAAGCCATCTCTGTACTTTTTTATTCTAGAGCCAGTGACTGGGGAGGAATATAAATGGTACTTTGTTTTCTCTTGGTAGGCAAGGAGGGCACCATGAGCTGGCAGAACGCCTTGTAGAAATACAGTATGAGCTGACTGACAGACTAGCCTTCTATCTCTGTGGCAGGAAACCAGGTAAGTGAAAGGACAGCAGTCTCTCTGCACCTTCAGTCAGCCTCTCGAAAAACAAGTTGGAACACGGTTACCCAAGATCTCTCCTTTAACATATCCTTAAGAAAATTGCAAATAAGGATTTTTATTTGAGATAACTGTAGCATTTTCAGTTATATGTGAAAGGTATAAGGTCAGTCAAAACTCCTTGAATTTTAGTTTTTAAGACTTTAGCTCCAGAGGAGTAACTATTTCAGGAATCAAAGAGCATAACTGAACCAAAATTGAATATGCACCATAGTTCTTGTGCATAATGGGACTAGGAGTAGAAGAGCAGAGCAATAACTTACGTAGTTATTTGAAGAATTCTGCTATCTTAGGAATGGAAAAGAGTCCAAAAATGAATTTTGCCATTAGCCAGGTTTATTTATGAAGTAGAACTGGGGTCAGCAAACCATGGTCTGTGGGCCAAATCTAGCTTGTCACCTGTTTGTTTAAAGTTTTGTTGCAAGATAGCCATGCCCATTCGTTTACATATTGTTTGGCTGTTTTCATACTACTAGAGCAGAACTGGCTAACTTAGTCAGTAGTGCATGTGGCTCTTAATCTTGGGGTCATGAGTTTGAGCCCCACATTGGGTGCAGAGATTACAGAAAGAGAGAGAGAGAAAAGGGAAGGAAAGAGTAGGTTGAGTAGTTGCAACAAAGACTATATGGCTACAAAGCAAAGAATATTTACTGTCTGGCCCTTTGCAGAAGGTTTACCAATCCCTAATGAGAATATCCACATACACCTGTACAGTGGTTCCCTAACCCGGTTGTATGATGGAGTTAAGAGCCTCTGGTGTGATTCCAGTTCCCTGTGAGGTGGGGTAGGGACACCCCACCCTTTGTTTCCTGCTAAATAAAATGAAAAACCCTGGACCAAAAGCATGGAGTAGCTATCTAAGGACTCTGCCTGGTGGATTAGGGAACTCAAAGTACCATCAAGCTGGTGGTGAGTGTCCTGTTTATTTTACTTCTGATACGGCTTTTGTGATAGCCTGAAATCTGGAACTATATAGCAGGTGCAAAGAAGACTTCTCTGTCTGGTCTACGGAGCAGTAAATGGGATCCTACAGACAGAGAATTGGGGGATTCCCCTGAGGTTTTTTTTTTTCCTCCTCTTCCTTTTCCCCCACCCTAGCCCCTAGGCAATCGTGTGGCTGCAGCAGCGGCGGCACAGCTGCCTAAATCTCTGACCAAAAGCGTGAGGAGAATCCTGATTGCTTTTATTTATCTATTCTCTCACCACTTGGCCCAGGAGGCAGAGCCTAACCTGGTCAGGTGCCTGCTGAAAGAAAAATATTAACATTCTCCACAGAATTTAAAGAAGACTCAGCATCTCACAACATAATACTCAGAATGTCTGGGATATCAACTATAATTACTTGACGGAGGAAGAACCAGGAAAATCCCAAAGACTTGCAGGGGAACAGGTAGTCAACAAATGCCAACCCCAGATGACACAGATGTTGGAATTATCAGACAAAGACTAAAACAGATAGTAACATCATGCTTTGAGAAGTGTGAACGTTCTTGAAGCAAATAGAAATATAGAAGGTCTCAGCAGAGAAACAGACCCAAATAGAAATGCTGAACTGAAAAATACAATAACTAAAATTTTAAAACTCACTGGGTGGGCTTAATAGCAGATTGGAGATGACAAAGAAAAGAGTCAATGAATTTAAATAAATCACTAGAAATTACCCAGTTTGAGCAACAGAGAGAAGGAAGAGTAAGAGGAAAAAGAAACTGAACACAGAGCCCAGGGACCTATGGGACAATATCAGAAGGTCATGTTTGTATCCTCAGACTCCCAGAAAGAGATCAGAAAGCTTGGTGCGGAAAAAATATTTTAAGAAACATGGGTTCAAAACTCTAAATTTGGCAAAAGACATAGACTTCAGATTTAAGAAGCTCAGAGAATCCCAAATAGGATAAACTCCATGAAATCCTTACTCAGACACATGAAAATCAAAGTGCTGAAAACCAAAGACAAAACATTTGAAAGCAGCCAAGGAAAAAAATGACAACATATGAAAAGACAGTTGTTTGAATAACTGTGGATTTTAATTGGAAACAGTGGAGTTGAAAAGGAAATAGAACAATTTTTTTAAAGTCCTGAAAAAAAAGAACTATCAGTTCAGAATTCCTCTTCCAGTGAAAATAGACTTCAGGAATGAAGGCAAAATAAAGACATTTTAAGTTGAAGAGAGCTAGTTGTTCTAACAGAAATGTGAAAGAAAGTTCTTTGGGTAGAAGAGAAGTGATACCAGAGGGAATCTGGAACTTGAGTGAAATAAGAGCAACTGAAATGATAAATATCTGGATAGATATAATAGACAGTTTTCCTCCTAAGTTCTTTGAGATATGAGACAGTTTAATGCTTGTCTGGTGGGGTTTTCAGCATATGTCAGTGTGATGTATTTGGTAAGGATGACATAAAAGGGGAGCAGGTAAAAGAAATATGGAGGTAAGGATTTTATATTCTTCTTAAGATGGTGAAATATTCTACGTAGACTAAAAGATTGTGTATACTGTAATGCATAGTACAACCCTTAAAAACAGACTATACAATGATAGGTAGTCAAAACCTCTAGAGATAAAATGAGATGTTAAAAATTACTCAAATAACAAAAGATACTTCAAAACATTCCAAAAAAAGAGAAAAGGAGAGAAAGAGGAACAAAAACCCGAGGCCAAAACAGAAACTAAATAAAATCATACTTAAATCCAAACATATTAATAATTACATTAAATGTTATGTTAATGATCTTAAATATACGAAATAAAAAGCAGAAATTGTCAGAACGGATTTAAGACAAAAAAATGAGCCCTAATAAATATATGCTGTCTACAAGAACCCACTTTAAATATAACGATAGAGGTAAGTTAAAAGCAGAAAGGTATAAAAAGATATATCTTGCAAACACAGTAAAAGAAATCTAAAATGGTTATGTTAATATCAAAGTAGACATTGAGGGCAAAGAAAATTAGCGGGGATAGAGAGGGACATAACTTGGTGATGAAAGAGTCAATTTTCCAAGACGTAACAATTCTAAATGTGTATACACCTAGCAACAGGGTTTCAAACTACATGAAGCAAATTTTGATAGAACTAAAAGGAGAAAAGGTCAAATCCACAATTCTTGTATATTCAGCAGTCTTCATTTAGTAATAGATGGAACTGGTAGATAGAAGATCAGCAAGGATATATGGGACACCTGGCTGGTACAGTTGATAGAGCATGTGACTCTTGATCTCGGGGTCGTGAGTTCAAGCTCCACATTGGGCGTGGAGACTTCTTAAAAGAAATAAAATAAAATTTAAAAGAGGAAAATCAGCAAGGATAGCAGACTGGAACCAAACCATCAACCAGCTGCATCTAGTTGACATTTATAGTGTGCTCTACCCAACATTATTGGAATACACATTCCTTTCAAGTACATGTTGAACATTCACCAAGATAGACCATATCCTGGGTTATAAAACAAAGCTTAGCCAATCTAAAAGAAATAAAACCTAAAATAAAATCTTACAGAGTATATTCTCTGACCATAATGGAATTAAGCTAGTAAAAAATAATAAAACTATAACTGGAAAATACTCAAATGCCTGGAAATTAACAACACAGTTCTTTTTTTTTTTTAAGATTTTATTTATTTATTTGACAGAGACACAGCAAGAGAGGGAACACAAGCAGGGGGAGTGGGAGAGAGAGAAGCAGGCTTCCTGCTGAGCAGGGATCCTAATGCGGGGCTCGATCCCAGGACCCTGGGATCATGACCTGAGCCGAAGGCAGACGCTTAACGACTGAGCCACTCAGGCGCCCCTAACAACACAGTTCTAAATAATCCATGGGTCTAAGAGGAAATCTCAAGGGAAATTAATATGGGATGCAGCTAAAGCAATGCTTAGAGGAAATTTTAGAGTATTAAATTCTTACATTAGAACACAAGAAATGTCGGGACGCTTGCATTAGAACACAAGAAATGTCGGGACGCTGCCTTAAGCTCAGGTCATGATCCCAGCGTCCTGGGATCAAGTCCCACCTCGGGCTCCTTGCTCAGCAGTTAGCCTGCTTTTCCCTCTGTGTGCCGCTCCCCCTGCTTGTGCTTGTTCTCTCTCTCTGTTGAATGAATAAATAAAAACCTTAAAAAGAACACAAGAAAGGTCTCAAATCCTCAACCTAAGCTTTCGCCTTAAGAAACTATGAGTTTCTTACTGCTTACTCATCCAAAAAGATGAGTAAAATAAACCCAAGCAAGCAGAAGGTAGGAAATAATAAAGATAAGACCAGAAATCAATGAAATTGAAAAAGGAAAACAGAGAGAAATCAATGAAACCAAAAGCTGATTCTTTGAAAAAAAAAAATCAATGAAATTGAGAAATGTCTAGCTGTATTATAAATAACTGTGCACACAAATTAGACAATTTAGATAAAATGAACCAATTTCTTGAAAGCCACAAACTACCAACCACCTACCCAAGAAGAAAGAGATAATGTAAACACATAATATTACATTTTAAAGGATTTGAATTTGTACTTTAAAGTATTCCATTAAAGAAAACCCAACCCAGAGGACTTCACTGGTAAGTACTGTGAACTAGTTGAAGTGGTGTTGCCATGTAACAGTTCAACAGATATGTTTTATGACTCATGTGATTTGCTAGCTTTGCTGTTATGATTTTTTTTTTTAAGATTTTATTTATTTATTTGACAGAGAGACAGCAAGGGAGGGAACACGCAGGGGGAGTGGGAGAGAGAGAAGCAGGCTTCCCGTGGAGCAGGGAGCCCGATGTGGGGCTCGATCCCAGGACCCTGGCATCACAACCTGAGCCAAAGGCAGACGCTTAATGACTGAGCCATCCAAGCGCCCCCTGCAAATATGGTTCTTAGTGTTAGGAATTCGCATTTCAAGTTTTGCACGTAAAATGAGACTATTCTACCAAACATTTGAAGAAGAGATAACATCAATTCTATATGGTATTTAGAAAATAAAAAGGTAGGGAACATTTCTGAAGTCATTTTGTGAGGCCACCATTACCCTGATACCAAACCCAGCAAAGATAGCACAAAAAAATAGCCCTCGTGAACATAGACACCAAAATCCTCAACAAAATGTTAACAGATTGAATCCATATATATGATATATATATCATAATCAAGTAGGGTTTCCAGATGCTAAAACTAACTAAATATGTGAAAATCAATGTGATTCATCATATTAACAGACTAGAAAAAGAAAACCATCAGTCTTACCAGTTGATACAGAAAAAGCATTTAATAAAATTCAGCATTCATTCCTTCATGATAAGAAAAAACTTAGCAAACTTGGAATAGAAGGGACTTCCTTAACCTGATAAAGAGTATCTGTAGAAACCCACAGCTAACATCATCCTTAATGATGAAGCATTGAATGCTTTTGCTTGAATATCAGGAACAAGGCCAGGATGTCCACTCCTACCATTCCTGTTCAGCATTGCACTGGAAATCCTAACCAGTGCCATAAGGGAAGAAGAATAAAAGGCATACAGATTGAAATGCAAGAGATAGAACTAATCATAAATAAGATGGTTTCAATGTAGAAAACCCCAAGGAATCTACAATAACGTTCTTAGAACTAATAACTGAGTTTAGCAAGGTTGCACAATATAAGGGAAACAAAGATAAATCATATTTCCATAGATTAGCAATGGACAATTGGAAACAAGCTAGAAAAACAATACCATTTGTAATAGCTCCAAATTAGATGCTTAGGTATAAATCTGACAAAATATTCATAGGATCGGCATGCTGAAAACTACAAAATGCTGCTGAAAGAAATCAAGGAAGACCTGAATCCGTGGAAGAGAACTGTGTTTATGGGTTGGAATCCTCAATAGAGTCGATTCTGCACAAATTGACTTGTAAAATTAATTCAATTCAAGGCTTTTCTTGTGGACATAGATGTGCTGATTCTTTAATTTACATGGAAAAGCAGAGGACCTAGAATGGGACTGTTTTGCAAAAGAAGAAGAATGTGCGCAGAATTACACCACCCAATTTTAACTCTTGCTGTAAAGCTCTGCTGAACTCAAGACCATGGTTATGGAGAAGAGACAGACATACAAGTCAATGAAACAGTAGAAAGAATCCAGAAATAGACCCACACAGATATGTTTAGTTGATTTTTTGAGAGTTGCTAAGGCAATTCAGTGGAGGAAGAAAGTCTTTTAAGTATTTGGTGTTCAAACAACTGGACATCCCTGTGCAGAAATACAAACTTCAGTACCTCCCACCTGGTATAAAAACTAACTCAAAATGGATCATAGATCTAAATGTAAAACCTAAAAGTATAAAACTTCTAAAGAAAACAGAAGAAGATCTTTGTGATCTTGGTTTAGGTAAAATGTTTAGATGTAACACCAAAAGCACAATCCGTAAAAGAAAATACTGGTAAATTGGACTTCATCAAAATTGAAAGCTTTTGCTCTGCAAAAGCTACAATTAAGAGAGTGAAAAGACAAGCCACAGACTGGGAGAAAATACTAGGAAATCACATGTCCAACAAAGGACTTGGGTCCAGAATATTATACCTAAATATGTAAAACTCAGCAGTAAGAAAACAACCCAATACAAACTGGGCAGAGACCATATCCAGATGCCAGATAAGCACATAAAGTGAGATGCTCAGCATCATTGGCCATTAGAGAAACAAATTAAAAGCACAAAGACACCACTACACACCTATTAAAATGACTAAAATTTAAAAACCTGCCAAAGAAACTGACAACATGAGTGGGAAGGTGTGAAGCAACTGTAACTCTTACATTGCTGGCTGAAAAACAAAATGATAGAGCTACTCTGCCAAAAAGTCTAGCAGTTTCTTACCACGTTACATATACATTTACCTAATACCTACATGACCGAGCAGTCCCATTCCTGGGTGTTTATCCAAGAGAAATAAAGACTGATGGTTACACAAAAACCTATATGTGAATGTTTATAATGCCTTCATTGGCATGTGATCAACAACCTCCAAGAAGCTAGGTTGGGACTGGGTCAGTAAGCATTGTAGGAGAAGGCAACCCCATCCAGATCTGCCAAGACCATCTGCCCCAGCCCTGATGGTTTTATGCTAATTGATTAATTTGCAGGTGAGCCACCAAAGCCCAAGGGTGCTCCCCCATCCCACATGGAGAGCTGACAAAAGCCTGCTCTGAGCTAATTTAAAAGTTTTGTCTATGCTCCCTAAAAAAAAAAGTCTAGCTCCCTAAAAGTTTTGTCCATGACTGAAGATCATTAGTTATACTGGGAATGAATGGAAATGTAGGGTTAGAGCACAGCCTTTTTGCTTAATGATGTCTGGATCTTTGTACCAAAAGAAAAATGGGAATATGATTCTTGCTACTAGCCAGGTCTTAGGAGTTTGTAGCCAATTTGGCAACTTCTGTCACCCCCCCCCCCAAATAATCCGTAATTATGGGAAACTACTAATTGCAAAACATAAATTGAGAAAATTATGGTGGTGTTCCTTTATCGATCTTACCAATATTTATATAAACAAAACTTTGGCTTGATTTCTGTTTCAGATCACAAAAATGGACAGCACTTTATAATACCTCAAATGGCAGACAGGTAAGGCCATTGAAATACCAATCAATTTTATCTGTCACGATTATTTCCTTGGTTGTATAGTGTTTTAAGTGTATTATACTTTGTATTTAACAGAGCCCATACATTTTTCTCTTTTATGGCTATACAATTTGGAAATAAGACGGCTGTAAGTAAACCACCATGTAAAACTTAAGTTTAAAAGAGTACAAGTAACAAATTTATGAGTAACGTTGGAGTTAGTGATATTGTCACGGTTTTAGCCAGTTGTGACAGTATAATGTGTCTATAGGTTATATCACAGAATATTTCTGTACTGTAAGAGAGGATATTCTTTGTAACAGGGATTGGCAGAATTTTTAAGGGCTAGATAGTAAGTATTTTAGGTTTTGTGGGCCATACAGCCTCTGTCACAACTACTCAACTCTGCCAGTTGTAGATGAAAACATCCGTGGACATTATGTAAATGAAGGGCATATCAGTTGCAAGAAAATTCCATTTCTGGGCACTGAAATGTGAATGTCATATAATTCTTCCTATGTTATGAAATATTTTTCTTTTGCTTTGGGGTTTTTTCCCCCAAACCACTTAAAAATATAAAAACCATGCATAGCTCATGGGCTGAACAAAGAAATGGGCTATAATCTGCCGACCCCTGGTCTGTGAGGGTAACTGAGTTCACAGCTGCAGGGATGAACTTTAAATCCTTATTATCCAATTACCTTTGCACAGATACTGTCAAGAGTTTATGAAACAATTAGCTGCTATTCCAGATGTAATCTTGCCATTCTGGTTTTTCACGTTCTGCCCTTTTCATATTTCCTTCTGTCATGCTTTTTTTTAATACTTCACGAATTGTGACTTCTCACATAAAGGGCCAGGGGATGAACTGTCAATAGTTTTTGTCTTTTAGTTATTCAGTGATTATTTTTCTCTGTACAATGTTACATGACTATGATGTTTCTAAAAGCTACAAGTTCTTATGTTCAAAGTTTTCTCGCTAACTCTAATGGGCTATAGAATTTTTGTTTCTGACCATGTCCCTGAACTGTTAATTAATGTCTTGATGCTTTGGCTATCTTAATGTTCTACAGAGCTCATAAAAATGGTTTTTATTTATTTGCTTATTGGTTTTGTACATTTTCTTAGCAGCCTGGATTTGTCTGAATTGGCAAAAGCTGCTAAGAAGAAACTTCAGTCCGTGAGTATCTCTGTTTCCTAGTGAAGTTCAGTGTGGGAAACCATGCATCCTGCTAATACCTGTCCTCAGCCCATTACCTGCTGCACCAGATGACTTAGTTTTCATACTCTGGGATGTTATAAAATCCAAAGCAGAGCGTTGAGTACATAGAGAAGAAGACGGAAAGTAGTAATTCTTTTTTTTTTTTTTT